ATTGCAAATAACAGCTATTTTTCAGGGGGGAAAAAAATAAACATCTGAATGCAAACTTAAACTACAGCACCCCTATTATCACTAGCAACACTGGTGCACAGGGCTTTGTTTTTCCCAAGCAGCTCACAGCATCAGATGCCACCTGAGCTTGTTTACACCAGCAGAAAAGACCAGAGGAGAGCAAACAGATGCTATTTGGACATGGAAGATGAAAAAGAGAACAGGTTTTGACATCATCAACAAAATAAGAGCTGGAAAGAATTTGCAGGAAAGCCCCAGTGTCTGAGTGGAGCAGGGAGCGATCAGGTGGTTGGTTGGCTGCTGTAATTAACAACCTCAGCCAAATGCAGCCAGGCATGACCAGTGAATTAACATGCAGCAGCTTTCACACACTACCCCACAGATCCGTTCAGCGAGCAAAGAAACCCTGAAAACAGCCAAGCCCAGGGATACTACAGTCTGATTAGGAAACAACAGAGACACATTTAGAGCGTAACAGAGAAACTGTAGCAGTAATCATCAGTAGCTACTCGTAAAATACCTGACATTGTTGGTTTATTTGTGTTTTCAACGTAAGGCATGCTTGTTCCGATTAGCAAGTCAATCATGCAGGAATTTAATTGACTAGTATCAAAAACAGTATTTTTAAAAGGCTTATTTGAAAACATGTGTTCAGTTTCCTTCCAGGTAAACACCAAAGACAATAAATAATAGGAAATGCACTAATCACTTATTCAGATATCAAACCATATTATATTCTGTTGGCTCAAATTATTTATGTGGTCAGATACAAATGGAAATGGATTTATTTTCCCAATCTAGTTAAGTAGTTCCCAATTTGATTTCAAACTACGAACTGTCGTCAATTTTAACTCCATAATAACATTAACTCAAAAACAAGCATTTATAACTACCGGGCGATCTCTTTATTATATTAGCCTTATTTGTACAAAGATGTACTGATCGTGGTTCACCTGGTGGATAGGATTTTCTTTTAAAGTCGTAAGGAGGCGGCTGTTCCAACCGTTGCATTTACGAATTCTCCCGATTGGTGCCTGTGAATGAAGTGAATGTGATTGGTCATTTATCAAGGGGGCGGGGTTGTTGTGTAAGAGGAAGCCAGGGCGGCAGAAGCTTGGTTTGGTGTAGAAGGCTTACAGCCGTACATGTTTGAGCCCTTGCCTCGCAACGCTGCCAGTTATGTTAGCTCTATGCCTGCCTAAGACAGACGTCCATCCCTGTGAACACTGGGACGGAACTCAATGGGAAAGGAAATGATTCTTATTTCTTATTTCAGCCGTTGCGTATATTAGCTGCGAGATATGAATTAAGATGTTATGAGCGAAAAAATGTGATTGACAGATGACCGTTGATATATGATTGGCTGAATTTAGGTGTACAAGCTGACGTATCACTAACTGGCCTGCATAAGATAACGAAAAAACCCACAGATTTTAAGACAGGATTTTTTTTTTTTATAGAAATTTTCAAAATTATGGTACATTATCATCTGATAAAGAGTACATTTATATACAAGTTTAAGCCAGAATGATTTGACATTTAAATTTGACTTCCCTACGACTTTAAATCTGACCTATTCATACTCATTTTAATGTGCTCCACATGTTTTTAAAGAACTAGCAACATGTTTCCTCTTTAAGATGTTAAAGAATTTAGAAACTTAAAAAAACCCAGAAAACATTCAAATCAGCATAAGGTCAGACTTAAAAGAAAAAGAAAAATCCTATCAGCCAGGGGAACCATGATCAGTGCATCTTTGTTAAATACACAAAGTGAAACTCAAGCCAATATAATATAAAGATGTCCCTTTTTTTTCTGCCAAGTCAAAACACTATTACATCTGCAACTTCCAGTGTTCAAATCACATTATGATTTTACTTGACAGCAAACTTTTCATAAAGAGATTTAGATTCCTAATAGAATCATGCTTTTATGTAAATATCAGTTAAACTCAAGGCTCGTAGCTGCTTTAAAGGTACACTGGAGTTTTAAAGTTACAGTTTCCAGACCTTAACTATGATGAAGTGACACAGCCTTTCTCTTACTGTATGGACAAAGGAGCATTGCCCTCCCCCACATGTTGCTGGTCAGCTGAGTGAAGTAAAACGGAAACAGTTTCCCCTTGTTTTACAAGACAGATTAATGTAGGTAACGGAAAACATGGTCACTGCATGGAAAGAGTTTCTGCTCAATACAGCATGAAGAATAATCTAAATAAAAGCTCAAAATTGTCTAAACCTTCAGGCAAATTTAGATTATAAATAACCTCTCGGTTTTACCAAAATGTTTCTTCTGATGAGAAGTGTTAACGTTTTTAAAAGAACCAAAGTCGGAATCTATATTTTGGAAAATAATTTGCATTCTGTGGAGGAAACTATGGAGGGTAAGGAGATACTGAGCCTATTACCAAAGATTATCACCAAAGGCCAGTGGAAATATTCAAAACAGTGGTTGGCAATTATTACAGAAGTAACTTCAACAAGAAAATGTTTTTGATTCTAAGTAAAATCATATTATCATCTATTAAATTGCTTTATCACTTTTTCGAAAGATGTTTTCTTGGTTAAATGAATAAAAACAAAAATCTATCTAAATTGGCCAGGGATATATATATATATATATATAATTTTTGGCTTCCTTTCATATTCTAATTTCATGCCTACAAATATTTCTATTTCTTATCCAAGGATTTAAACCATAGAACTTAATTTCAATAATTTGGAAATGTAATTTTCATAAAAATGTATAATTTAGATCGAGATTGGTGTCTGATAAATTGTGTTAAGCTCCTAAGACCCAATAGGCATTTCAACCAAGTCATGTCGGATAACTATGATTTGTTAACTATATATATCAAAACATCAAAATAGTATAATATTGACGTTTTTTGGGGGGGGTTTGTTGTGAATAAATCTAGTTAATGTCATTTTTTTGGTTTAAATATTTGTCATTATCAAATTTCAAGGGCCACAATCTCTGGTGATACAGCGTCAGTCATGCTTCTACCATTGCTCTTCTCTAACCACTTTGATGAAAAGAGTTATCTTTAAAAGACAAAACACTGAGGAATGAACAGCCAGTATTTTTTTCTGCCCTTTACCCTTCCTCTCCAAGTCCCTGTCCTCTCCAACATAACACCCCATCTCTAATCACCGTTTCCTGGCCACACAGGATCTTACAGGACCAGGAGGAAATCCTTCCTTAGCTGAAAGCACAGTGAAATCAGCAAGTTTGGGACAAATCAACATGCACAATCATCAACTGAAAGGGTTGCATTTTTTTATCTTAGGCCACATGTGGAGGGAAACAAAAACACAGTTGGACAAACAGTTATCTGTGCAGAACTGGAACTAGTTTTGGACATGACCATACATACTTCTTTAGCTAATGAATCCCTATCCAAAAACATATTTCAAGTACTGTAGGACTCCAAATGACAATTATTTTGCAAATTGTTTAATCCTATAATTAAACCAGGTGAAATTAAGAATTTTCCACTTGAGGAGTTCTGGATATAGCATAGTGACAGCCGAAAAGTTTTGATATTTTTACATTCTTGGTATAATTGCTCCTCAAGGTGGGTTGCTCTGTCAGCTAAAGACACACTTCAGAGTCACTATGATCCAGTTAAAGATTAAACGATTACTAAATTAAATGACAATTATTCGAAAAATCGATTAATCACGATCCGTTTTATTGCTAAAATTTCAGGCTTTAAAAGCACCTTAAAAACAAGATCTGGTTGTTATTGTTTCGCTGCACAATAAAAAAAAGAAGAAGAAAAAAGATCAGCCAAACAGAGGGCATGTCAACCTGTATTGGTATCGGAAAGTACTGACAAATAGGGCACCTATACCATCTTGAGAGCCAAAAGTTTACTCAACTATAGTCACCCATTCCAGGTAGGCAATATAAATATATATATATATATATATATATATATATATATATATACATAGCTGTGTGTGTATAAACACCACAGCCTACCTGAATAGTGTACCCAACTACAACATCATAATGCATACATAACCAAATAATCTATTACATGTATTGCACTCTGATAACCTCCAAACACCAGATCTCAATTCAAAAGAGCAAATTTGGGCTTCCTTTGAATCACTAGTCAGGTAGACTTAGTTGACATTATGGATGTAAAGCAACTGTATGATATTATAATTTTAATATGGACAAATATAAGAAATGTTTCAGTCACCCTGCTGACTAAGGCAAATGGAGCACTTAATTATCAGTATACCTAAAAAGATACCAAGTGAATTAGTTTATTCAGGAATATGGTATAAATAGATATAATTATGTCAACATAATAGCTTCTTAAAGTGATCATATTGCAGGGAGAGGAGGATGGCACCACAACTGCTATTATGACCATCATAAAATCTGCACTTCCTTGTTCATAAAGAGAAACAACACAGTGCTCAAACACGATACACGTTTGCTTTCCTTATTTCAGAATAACTGATAGAGATTTTAGAAATATTTTTCTAAAGATTAAAGTGAATCCAAAATAGTATCATTTTACATTCGAAGCAGCTCTCATTTAAAGGACCTGGCTTCATTTTATATAGTTTCCATAATGTTTTAAATTGTATCAATGACTGGGGAATAAACGATGACAAAGAGCGGCGGTGGCAGTGATCCTATGTGTTGATGCTCCATCAGCTAGCAATATCCTCTGGCTAGTTAGCAGCCAGGGAGCTAGCTTATATTAGCTAGCATCCATCCCCATCATATTGACACTTGTTTTTATTTTATTTTTTTAATCACAAAATAAAAACGCTAACATTTTTGAAGGGGTGAAATTCAGAGTATTCTCATTTCATTGCGTGTGTTACTAGTCAGGTTGTTGTATTTATTAGCCGCACCGGGAGGCAGACAGCTAACCTGTTAGACGTTAGCCGAGTCAAGCTAAGCCTCGCGCGTGCAGCATCCAGAAGCAGCGCCGGTGACATTTCACTCACCTATCAGCGCCCGCAGGTGCTTCAGCCGGGTCAGGACATCCTTCTTTGGGTCCAGAACTTTCTGTGTAGATTTCTTGACGTCCCCATGCCCCCTTCGAGTGAACATTCCGCTGTAAAATGCAACCGTGGAAGCAGAAATCACCTGTGTTCACCATACAGCACGGCTCCAGTGTGACTGTCACTTTCTACACCACCACTCTATGCTTGTTAGGTAAACATTCACCCCCCGGCGGCGGCCGCTGGTGAGCCCTGTGTGTGTGCCTCTGTTTTCTTTTTCCTTTTTTTTTTAAGGGGGTGGGTGTGTAAATACGGAAGCACAGTCTGATAGAAAGGACTGGTTTGATCGCCTGGATATGCGCCTCTCTGTTTATTGTGCAGTGCCACCTTGCACTTCCAGTCTTACAAATAACCTTTTGTTTTTTTCCTGAATTATGATACCGTCTGATTTAAAATGATTACGAAAACAGGAAATGAAATTGTTGCCTGTTTCAAAATGTATGAGATATAAAAATATAAATAAAATGTTCGATTTAAGTTTAAATTTAAGTTTCTAGGGCAGATTGTTTACTAAATGGTTTCCCATTAAATGGCTCATAAACGCCCTCTGGTGTATGCTTTTGTATCTACACTTCACAAACTGGATTTTTAAAAAAATCTATGCTCCCTGTTAAATTAACAAAGTTAATGATTTGTAGACTTTTTTAATTAATTTTAAACATTTTACTAAATTGAAAACAATAAAAAAACGAATGACTGTCTTTGAACTGTGAGTGAACTGATATTAGACTATATGACTGAGATGAGTTTGCAATAACTGCCAACCAGCCTTTTAAATCAGCATAAAGGGATTTTTCAGTCACTCTCATTCACCGAAATGTTTTAATTGGGCCCCATTACTGGGTGTTTGAGCTGTAATGGTGTGCCGAATGTAATACTACAGTATATGAATCGGTTTGTAAGTGCAAGCTTTGGCTGGGTTATGCAAAAACTTTTTTCTGTTCGTTTTAATCAATTTGCGTTGTATTGGTCCTGCTGCAATTCAAAGTGTGACTGGGCTTCAGGCAATGTTCTGCCGACCATTCGCTTTCAGTTTTTCTAATAGAGAGAAAAATTAATGAAGTCCAGATCTCAAAGAAGTAAAGTATTCCCAAACCGACATACTGCCACCATCACCATGTTTGACTGACAGTAAAAGGTCAGAGGTGCTATAGGCTACATTTAGTTTTCTCAGTTAATAGCTATTTTCCAGAAACTCTTTGTATTTCCTAAAATCATGTTGATGATTTACGACGAATGTGTTTTGGTACAGCAGTGGTTTAGGCCTTGCAGTTTTACCCGGCCATTTTAATTATTATTATTTTTTTTTTTTACAGGTAAATCTTTAGCTCTGACCTGGAGTAAGACTTTAAAGTTTGAACTCTAGGTGTCATTATAGGTTGTTCTGTTACCCGGTGTTTGAATCGTTGATGAGTTCTTGGAGCAGGCCTTGTTTTGGTTAACCAGCCTTTCTAAGGAAGGTTCACCACCAGTGTTTGTTTAAATCCTGTTTCAATACATTATTGGCTGGCTGTGCCACAGCAAAGAAATGGCTTGGTGACACTCTCTCTTTTTTTTATATTTTCTCTCTGTGCAAACTAGCTAAATAATGTTTTATGATATAAACCTTTTATGTCAGTTGATATAGATATTTATTGATACATTTTTTTAAATTTACCTATTTGAAATGAGTGCTACGGGAAAAGGTGGTTGAATTTAAATAATCACCCAAACCATATTTTGAAGCTTTTAACCTTTAGAAATAGGTCAGCCCTACTACCAACCTAATTTAATTTGGCTGTGATATCCCCTATACCCTATATTCCCCAGAATGCAATGTGGTTTTGGGTTGAAGTTCACTAAATGAAGACATATTTTTATATTAATTAGGTGTCTACAGTAATATATATTGATTTATTGACCAAACCTATTAAATTATTGATTCATTCTGCAGGTCAGATTATAAATGGGTCTGGGTCAGGCTGATGACAGTAAGCTTAGCTTTCTAACAAAACCAGTTTTATTAAAGACAATTCATGATTTAACAAAGGAGGAGATGACCCTTTTACGTAGGGCCAGGTTGATTTGGAAAGACTTCCCTTCACAAATGAAATGATCATTTAAAAACTGTTTTTTTTTGCAGTTTTTCACATTCTTTTTTGGAGCACTTTTTTTTTTATCAGATCTCCAAAAATATTTTATCCTATGTTCAAAAGACTCCTGTAATGAGTACAGGGCTAGGTTCAAGAGCAGTTGACAAAGAGAAAGAAGTGGGATATATCAAACTCGCACCACAAATAAAGAAACGCAGTCGTGGAAATTTGTATTACTGGCTTTTTAGAAAAAGCCCTCTTCATTGCCACCCTGTTAAGTCCATAATAGAGTTTAAAATTCTTCTCTTAACATATAAAGCCTTACATAATCAAACTCTTTCTCATATCAGAGATCTGATTGTTTCCTTATTCCTAACAGAGCACTCCATGCCCAAACTACAGGTTTACTAGTGGTTTTCTGAAAGTAGAATAGGAGCCAGCTCTTATAGTTATCAGCTTCTTCTCCTGAGGAACCAACAACTGGTATAATCCGTAAGGCAAATAGTTGTTCTACAATTTAGACTAGAATTAAAACCTAAAACTTTCCTTTATGATAAAGCTTACAGTTAGAATGACTTAGACTACCCTTTGCTATCTCTATAGTAGTGTTGCTATAGGCTAAGGCTGCTGGAGGACACAAAGACCACTTTTCCTCACTCTCCTACTTTCAACTTCCATTCTCTAATTTTGCATTATTTGTTAGTATTTAACTTTAAGGTCTCTCTGTTTTTTGTCACCACAGTAGCTAGATCTGACCTAGCACTCTATTTGGCTGTGAGACCTTCCTAGATGGAAGCATTAGCTGGTCTGCTGCCATCAACAGCTTCAATTACAGGTGATAGAGTTCCACCAGTGTTTTAGTATGTAGTCCCTTTTGTCTCCTAGACATAGCCAGGGGATCAGCTGTAACTGAGACTGTGTGTACTCTCTTTCCTCCGTTTGACCTGAAAACTGCCTCAGAGCTTATGTGCTTAGCTGTTTCTTTTCTAGGCAAAGCCCCCTAGGGACCGACGTTACCATTACCTTTTCTAACATAGAGAGTATTTATGGATCAATGCTGTCTGTCTCCTTGAACTGTTCACACTGAGCCTTGTTCTGCTGGCAGTTTCTTCCTGTTAACAGGGAGTTTTTCCTCTCCACTGCCACTGCATGCATGCTCAGTGTAAAAGATTGCTACAAAATCAGCACTATACAAGGGAATGTCGCTACACGCTCATCAAGGACAGAGTTCTGCAACGTCAATGACTTGTTGCAACCTGCTGGGGGTTTTTTTTATGGAAAATGTTTAACCAACCTGTCTATATGATATGACTGATATTTCTCTGTCAAGTCCCTTGAGGTTAAAATTGTTGTAAACTGATGCTATACTGAATTTAATGTAATTAAATAGAAGAAAATCCTCCTTAGACTGTAAGTGTCTGATAGGATGAACATACAGTCCTAGTTTTTGGTTAAACTTGTACTCCATTATTCCATTTTGACCATGAAAAAAAAAAACTTAGAATCAGACTTAGACAACTTTTGTTTGTATAACACAGCTAAACTTTAGCTGTATAGCTAAAGTTTCCTGCCAAAATCTGAAATATTTTGGCAGTTTGAAGACCGCAGCCAGATGTTCCTGATGTTACTTCAGTTTAATATGTTTTCATCTACAGGATTTTTCCTTCTCAAGCCATTTAGCAGTAAAATATTATCATGCCAACATTATATGTTGTAATGTAATTAACTGCAATGTGCCGGAAGCTTTTCATGTAATTTGCATCACTAAGTGAATCCATTATTACAACAAGTAATGAATACAAGATGGCATTTTACTCATTAAGTGAGGCACAATTATACTTTATTTTATTCACATTCACCAAAATATTACTCTGCTACCAAAGGCACAATAATTAAATTCCTGCAGCTAGTGGTTAAACCTCCACAACCTCTGGTCTTCTGAGAAGAATTTCTAGAAACAGCTGTTTAAGTTCTTAGATGAATTTCAGATGCTATTATATCACTTACTCATATCATCTTCAGGCAGTTAATATTACTCATTTCTAAGCAATTATTTAATCTGTTCTTAGTATGAACATACAGTATGATAGAAGAAAGCAAATTAAGTTCAGCTTATATGACATTTATTTTTGAAAGTTAGAAACCTCTCACGGTTGGTTCTAACCAGAGCATCTTCCTGTCTGCATCACTTTTCCTCCACATATCAATTAGGTTGACAAAGCATTATTTGTTATGAGTTATGACTTTGGGTTTGAATCCAATCATGGCAACTCTGATTAGAGTTCTATACATGCTCTTGCATGTGCATGTTAATGTGCATGCGTCTGTTATCTCCAAGTTCTCCCACTTCCTTCAATATCTAAAAAATATACCTATTAATAAATTGGTCTCTGCATTTACATTAGTTTGAGATTGTTTGACTTGGGTTCCTGTAGCTTGGATAGTAACCCTATATAAGTGTTCCCGACTCTTAATGCCTGTCCCTAAATGAGCACTGGTCCCTCCAAGACCAACCAGCAATAAGAAAGTTTTCAAATTCGATGGATTCCGTTCAATTCAGTTTAATTATATAGCACCAATTCACAGCAGCTGCCACCTCAAGGCACTTTACGGTTCATCAGATCATACAGTTAAATTGTTTCAAAGTTTTCTATCTAAGGAAAACCAGTTGATTGCATCGACTCACTGACTCAAATGCAATCCCTCACACTAAGCATGCTTGTAGTGACAGTGGAGAGGAAAAGCTCCCTTTTAACAGGAAGAAATCTCCAGTAGAACCAGGCTCAGTGTGAGCGGCCATCTGCTGAGGCCGACTGGGGTTCAAGGAGACAGAAGCAGAGATAGAAAAAGCAGCTGCCGGAGTTAGACACTGGCTCCACCGAGACCCTGAGAAGGTCTAAGCGGATGGAGGGATTAGCATATCTGGACAAGACACTTCTATAATGTCTCTTGTTCAAAAATAGCTAATCACAAAATATACAACAATAATAGTTTTTCTCCTCAATACATCTGGGTTTCATGGCTTTTAAAGCTCTGATCTAAAGGCTTTGCTTTACAAACCCTGCAACGTTAATAATATTAACATTATAATATTATCATAAGTGATTCATAAGTGATTATCATTTGTGATTAACAGCTATTTTCAAGGAAAAGACCAAATATTTTCCCCATGATTTTATGACAGAT